GTTCACACTATCAGGGTGGGGGGGGGGGTGGTTCAGCAAATGGAGAAGGCCTTGGTGCCTGCCGAAGTAGGACGAAACGAACAGGCTGTGAGATGGAGTAGGCAGACTTTTGTTAATATAGCATGCTGGCAGGGGAATAGGTTAAGTTACTGAAGTGGATGCGCATCGCTAGGATTTCATGCCTTCACTTGATAAACGGACGAAATCGCTCCAGCGCACTCCGGTGGATAAGCTTCCTTCGACCTATGCACAAGTCGGCTTCGACCAATGCGTGTAAAATACCCTAGGCTAAACGTCCGCTCGCCCGTAACGAATCCAGGTTCTTCCAAGCAGCCATTGGTCGGGTAGAAGGGCATCCAGGTGGCTGTACACTGCACAATCTCCAGTGTTTTCTGCGTGGAAAAATCCACGACACTCAGTTCGTCGTCCACACCTAAAGGAGACAAAAAAAGCATCATCTTACTTAAAATCCAACCCAGCCATGACTTTATCCGGCGGTTTTTACGTCAGATCCCTACCAACATCACCCCCGTACTTGCGAGACCTAATCGGTCAATTCTCCCTTTGGCCAGTTAATATTATAGGCCGTATGTTATTATCGACAAAGACAAGGGAGGCTGGAATGGCCATTTCCGGCTTATTAGCCGTCGTCAGTCAGTTATACCCACCCCCGAAGTGTGGAACACCCGAAGCTCGTGGCCCAGTGGTTAGAAGCGTGGACTTCTAATTACCAGGTCGCGAATTCGAGCCTCGGGTGTTCCGAACTTCGGGGTTGGGTATGACTGGCCGACGACGGCTAATAAGTCAGAAATGGCCATTCTAGTCTCCCTTGTCTTTGTCGACAATAACATACTGCCTAACCAGTGCCGCTGTGCGACTGCTGGATGGGCTTGAGAGAGAGCCCGTTAGGCACAACGGAACGAGTGAGTTCCGCAAGAACGATCGGTGAGCGCCCCCTACTACAGTTAATTTAATGCATAAAATTCGATTTGGAATAGTGGTTTGTATATCTGTGAACACAGTGAAAAAGCCTTTTGTCACACCACATCCGGGGACTCGAAACCGAATTCCTGTGTGCAGATTTCTGTGTCTTCAAGGAAACATGTGAGAGCCACATCCTTGAACTCTAGGCCTAAGCCAGGCAAAGGTCCTTTTTTCCAAATGCTACTGTGAACGGACGGTCACCAATATTTTTCGGCAGTAAGTCTACGTATCATATCTCCGTTTCCCAGATGATATCAATGTGGCTTTAAGCGTCTAGTTGGTCGCTTCTCGGAAGAAGAAGAAGAAGATGATGATGATGATGATGATGATGATGATGATGATGATGATGATGATGATGATGATGATGATGATGATGATGATGATGATGATGATGATGATGATGATGATGATGATGATGATGATGATGATGATGATGATGATGATGACGACGACGACGATGAAAAATAATGGGAACGAGAGGAGAGGTTATGGAGAAGATATGACTATCTACCAAATAAAAACAAAGGACGGAATTTTGAACACAATGTCACATGTGAGAACCACATCCTCGAACTCCAGGATTAAGCCAGGCAAAGGTCCCTTTCCCCAAATTCTGTCATGAAGGGACCGTCACCAATATTGTTCGGCGGTAAGTCTACGTGTCATATCTCGGCTTTTCGGAGGAAAAAGAAAACGAGAAGGAGTAGAAGGAGAAGAAGAAGAAGAAGAAAAATAAGATGAAGCTGAAGAAGAAGAAGAACGAAGAAGAGGAAGGAGAAGAAGGTGCGATTTTCTATCAAATGAATGCAAGGGAAAGTATTTTGACCACGTTTTCTATAATGTAACTTGAATGTATGTGAACATCGAAAATCGATGGAAAATGCGTACTTATTAAATTGTCATTGATTTTTGCTGGGTCACATGATACGCCACACCTGACAGCACATGTACTAACTTAAACCCCGATACCTGTGCTATAAGATATTATGTTTCATATAACTTGTCTATATACCACTGGCTGTCTGTTTGCCGTTAATGAATATCACGCCATTAATCCTCCATGGCCGTTGGAATTCGGCCCAAATTTTCATACTAAGTTTCAGCCTGGACATGAAAATTTTAATTCAGACCGATTTATTCCAAGTTACTTATTAATTTGTGGGGAAATTAAATGGCTGCAAGCCATTGTTTATCGCATGCGCTTTTAGTAGACGGTCAGAATGTAATGCGTTCACATTCCAGGTTCCCGGTGTGTCTGGAATATCGTGGGATTATGTCGCAGGATAATCAGTGGCACAACCCTACTCGATTACTCCCTTCTAGTCAAGAAGGATCTACGGAATTTGGGTGAAAGTTCCATGTAATTTATGACTGACGGAATTTATTGGTGGAGTCCAGATTCATCGAGAATGGTCGTACTTAGCGCGCTATCTGTTTTGTTGGCCACGTCGGAGACGTTGATCGTCATGTTACATCGCCAATTTTGGCAAATGGCGAGATGGTGGCGTGACAACATTGCTCCTTGATGTCGTCCGTCGACAAGTGTTCACCTGTTTACGATGATGGCTTTTTGCATAGATCCAAACGTAAGGACAATAATTCTCTAGTCGTTACTATCGAGTCCACTTCTTGTTAGGATGCAAAATTTTCAAACTTTCCCCGCTGGCGGCTGAATGATACTAACTGGATTTAGGCTGATCTGATAAGGACCACATTCGTAATTACCCTAATATTCAAATTTTTAATTGTCCAGGACAAAAGTGACTACCATTTCTAGTTAATAGAAGAAACGTGTAAAGAAATATTCTTTCTTTTACTCATTTGGTAGCAAGTTACGTCTTTTTTAAACTTTATGCTTAAAAAAGAGTATCTTTTGGTTTTAAAAAAACTGTCTCAATCTTCGAATAATTGTGAACCCGACCTACCGTTACGCTTACATTCAGAGTTTCCGAACCACAAGCTGTAACTTTTTGTGCAGCGAAAATTTTATATTTCTATATGCTATTATAAAGAAGACCTACGCGGCTCAAAAAACTTTGCAATGAATGTAGGGCCTTCCTAAAATTCACAAACAAGGGCTGCCTCTACGTCCAATCTTGGATATGAGGAATTCGCCCTATCATACCGTTGCAAAATGGCTAGCGGAAAGATTAAAGCCATTGCAAAGTTACCTATACCCTCGAAGTTTAAAAGACTCCTTTGAGTTCGTCGAGGCTATCAAAAATATGAACGTTGGCGGACGGAGGATGTTATCACCGGATGTATCATCGCTGTTTACCAACGTACCCGTGACAGAAACAATAAACTATCTTTGTGATGTTATTCGTGATACGAACTACGCCATAGACAAGCCTGTGAAAACGCTAAAAGAACTACTGACGCTTTGCACACAAAATGTCCAATTTCTGTGCAATGGTCAATTATACAGGCAGGTAGACGGTGTGGCAATGGGATCACCTCTTGGACCGTTCCTTGCAAATGTTTTTATGGGCAAAGTCGAGAAAACAAGCTTGCAAGAGACCATTAATGGCCTCGTCTTCTACCGTCGGTACGTGGACGATATCTTCTGCCTGACGGATGGTACCACCGATACCGAGGAGCTTGTCCAAAAGTTCAACAGTGCGCACCCCTCGCTAAAGTTCACTGCAGAGACCGAGGCAGATAACGAACTTGCCTTTCTCGATGTCCTTCTGCACAGGCAATAGGATGGGTCTATCCAGCGCAGGGTGTTCCGAAAGAAAACCTGGACGGGACAATACGTTAATTTCCACAGTTTTGTCCCCCTAAACATCAAACGGAATTTAGTCCAGGGATTGGCGGCTAGAGTGAGACGCATCTGCTCACCTGAAGCTATTGAAGAAGAACTTCAACAGCTGCGGAACACACTTCGGGAGAACGGATACCCAGATAGATTTATCCTCCGAAATATTGGGGAACGCGTTGAAAAGCCCACTGTTGCGACTGCGGAAAAGAAAGACGTATTCATAAGATTGCCTTTTAGAGGAGACGCAGAGAGCGAACTAGTCCGACGGCGCTTAACTACAGCTAGCACGAGGGCATTCCCTGCGGCGAATTTACGCGTATGCTTCACAAACTCTCCCCTCCTACGTTTGGGAGGTAAAGACAGACTACCGTTGGAGGCCATATCAATGTGCATTTATTCATTCACTTGCTCCTGTGGAGCAGGATACATCGGCCGCACAACGAGACGCCTGATAAAGAGAGTTCGTGAACATATGCCCGCCTGGCTAGACAGAGGTGAGACCCGGTCGATTTCGAGTTCTATTCTCGCGCATTTAATCGATACGAACCACCGAGTCGATGCCAAGAAAGCATTTCAGGTTGTCTACCGGACACCAACATGCTTCTCTAAAGGCCTACGCCAACGGATACTAGCAACGGCAGAGGCAGTAGCTATACGGTTAGTGAATCCGGTGTTATGCTGTCAGAAAACTCTGACACAAGCGCTTTCGCTGCCGTGGCCAACGCCAACCCCAAGCGATGAAGCCATGCCGCCTCAAATCCCTAATCACGATGATGGGTACTCCGTGTACTCAACCCAAGATCATTACTCAAAGACTCTCTTACCCCCCTCCCCTAGCTCTGACGACTAACACCCGCCGACCTTCCCATGCGGGCGGCGTGGGGACGATGAGTGTTAGTGACTTAATAGCCCTTGAGGCATCTATAAACACTGTTGATTTTGTACATTTTCATTTGTTCATGTAATTGTATTGGCCTGAGGAAGAATTACCGAAAACGTGCGTTCGCCAATTTGACTTTTCGAATGTGGATCACATTGTCTACTTTATAAGCAGTATTAATAAATGTGCTGATGTGGGGCTCTACGATTGGACATTCCACAGTCTTCAAAAATCTCTTAATTATAAACTTTTTAAAAACAAAATATATTCATTATTCATGTATAAAATTTGAAGGCGTAACTTGCTACTAATTGAGTTAAAAATGAATATTTTTGTGCATTTTTTCTATAAAATATGTTTAAATTTATAAGAGCATCTGAAACCAATGAGAAAAAATATTCTGCTGAAGTAGTCATCTTTTATCAAATGTAGCCTATGCAAATGGTCGATAAAGGAGCTCGTTCGAAAGCCGGAATATTGGTGAGACCGAAATATCTTGGTTCTATGCAACACGATAGGCAAAATGACAAAGATGTTTGAGTGATTTTTTTCGAATTAAAGACGCATTCCAGAATTTTCGTCAATATTTCATGAGGTAGCACATCTTCTGTAAATGCACGATATCTGCCCCATCCCAACAAAAACGCCTTGCTAGTCAGATGGACGATTCAAATCTCCCAGCAGCACCTATTAATTAAGAGAGTCTGGCAGTTATCTGATCAATTCTAGATCGATTAATTAGATAATCCTGCCTGGCCAGTCATTTAACCGGTCCGCAATTGGTGTGGATTCCACATGTTGCCGCAGGCTGGGATGGGTCAGTCACTTGACCTAAATGTGATTAAATTCGCAGTTTTTTTTAGGGGCCTCGTAGCTCGGCGTTGGCTGTACTCGAGCCTTGTCTTTTGCTATCCTGTACTCGTATACCATCGAGAACGCCGAGTTCTTCACGACTGCGTCAGCGGAGAGTGGTATCCGTTCCATTAAGAGGACCCAGAAAAAAAAATTGGGGCTGGGACTTACTCCGCAGCACAGGAATACCGTGAGTGTCGACCTGTCGCCCTCTGTAGGCAGCTCAGGTGGGCATCTCTGCTGTCATTCGACTCACCAACCGGAAGTGGGAAGTCTCTGTCAAAACGCGCATTTACGACTGGCGGTTGACTGCTCGCCTCCCCACCGCCTCCATACACCTCCACCACACCGTCAGGCTCATACTCGCACAGGAAGGGCAGTTGGATGCTGCAGTCAACCAGACGGAAGGTGACGGCGTCACTGGCTGCAAGACACTGGCCCACCGTCGGTGGGGACGGCGGTAGCTTCGTCAGTATGTGATCGGGCAGGGGGCTGCCACGTGCACGGGGAAAAATGAGTTGAACGGAGAGATTCTGCAGCTCCGCCTCCCTCGTGCCCACCGTAACTGCTCCGACCCAGGACTGGGTGGGGAGGTGGAGGCTCGCAAGCAGACCTGAGATGTCCCCCACGGGCAGAGAGATGCGATGCTTCAGACGCATACCCTGCTCCAGCAGACAGTAACTGGCGGCTGAACAGAAATCCTTGCCAGCTGTCAGGATTCGGTAACAGGAGCCGGTGCTTGATTTGTTATAGCCCAGCGCGCACTCGCTGCCGCGGACAAGGTCAGGCTTGAGGCAGAAAACGAAGATGGCAAGAATGGGGAAAGGTAGCTGGCGCCGAGGCGAAGGCATTACTGGTGATGTTGCTTTAACACGGAACGATGGGCGCAAATGACCCCTTTGCAAGTGCGTAGCACACCTGACTGATGTGGTGGCGAATTGCTCTACCGCCACTGACCAATCAGAGCGCGCGTCGGTGGCATGTCACCGCGCCCTAAATACCCAGCTAGGGCAGGAAAGCGCGGATTGGCGAACAGGCACAGCGAAGAGCTGACTTTGTTAAAGACACCGGGCTGGACAACCCAGTAGCTACAATCGAGTTTTTGCAGTTGTAAACAAACATCCCACTCATTAAAAGACCTAACAACGCTACTCATTTTGGTATAGTTGAGAGGCCCGGATTCATAATTTTCAAATAAGAAGGGCCCACCTCAGCAGGTGTATTGGAACGCGGACATTTCGGAAAGCTTGATCGACTGACTATTGCCAAAGCGTAAAGTGCTCTCAGTCTGGCAGAAATGGAAGTGTCATGCCGCGCTAGTCGGCCTCGTGATGATCGATTTTTCTCCTCTCGCTGCCTCAGGCTTTCGGTGGATGTTTATCGGCCTGTTTAGCCGCGTGCGTTATGAGTCACCAACTGGTCGGGAGGGGGGGGGGGGTGATGGCCTAGCCTCTGTCGGGGTTTGTCGGTCTGGCAGCTCTTTTTTCTTCCTCGTCGAGTGAGCTCGTCATCAGGCTGTCTGCATGACTGTCTTGTCCTGAGCTTTGTGAACGTAATGACCCAGGACTTTGTAATCTGCAGGAAGGTCTATATGCCCATTGATGGAGTTGTCACCTTAGTACCACTTCCCAAGTGTGAGCCGGTGTGCCTTCGAGTTTCCCCGACCCAAGATGGTAGCTCCCTGGAGATCGAGCGTATGGTTGCTTTCTCCGACATGCACTACAGGTTGAGAGTTCGAGTCTTGCCTCCCAGTTGCCAATTTGTGCTCTTGTAGGCGGGTCTGCCATTTCCGTTCGGTTTCCCCAACGCAGTTACAGTCCCCATTATTGTAACTTATTTTGTAAGTAATTGTTGAGGTTTCAGTGGATGGCAGCGTGTTCTTCGGTTGCATCAAACAGCGTCGACTTGTTGCCTGGGGTCGATCGGCTCTGCCTGCTCTAACGAGTTGGAACAGTCGAGACCACCCCCGAGGCCCCTTTAATGTAGGGAATGGCCCTCCAGACTTCTTTCGGCGTCCGCTTATCTCGATAAAAAGGCTGGGATAACCATCAACCCTAAGGAGGTTCTGAAGGCACATTCGTACGACCATTTTGTCCGCTGTTCTCTAGTGCGTTTCAGCCTCTTGGAATAGAGTGCGGACACAGATGCGTTTGTACGACAGATGGATATTTATGTTGAGGAGGATAGAAGAGCCAGTGGGGCGATTACACCCAGGGAATGGTTCTCCATGAAACTCATTGACTCCAACACGGCTAAATTCACAGTCTGCCGAAGGCGAACAAGGCAAATGTACCACTCAGGCAAAGCGTATCCCTTCATGGCACTCCGACCAATGGTTTGGCAATATGGCCGTTCGACCGTCTTAAGTTTTTAGCCAAAGGCTCAGCAACAACCATAGCATTCACAAATCTATTCCTCGGGTGCATGAGACACTTGAAGTTAGAATCAGATGAATCCACGGCATCCTTTGATGTCGCTTTACTTTTCACCTCCGTTCCGCAGCATCTAGCAAGAGACGTAGTGAACCCATCTACCGGCTGAGCTCTATGAGGAGAGGAAGGTATTCCTGAAGTCCAAACGCCTGCTCGGGTTTTTACAGCACTGCCTCGGGACCTATTTCAACTTTGGCGGACAAATGTACGAACAAATTGAAGGCAGTCCTATGGGCTCGCCTGTGTCAGGCCTGATTGCTGCGGCAGTCGGTCAGCATATAGAACACCCGGTGTTCACAAAGTATCAGAGTTCTGGGCTCACTATGTCGACGATGCATTCGTCGTTATCAAAACGACTGACATTACTGAACTCGACTGACCCGAATACTCAGCTCATGACGGAAGCTGATGCAAACAACAAACCGTCCTTCCTCGACGTGCTTGTGCGCCGATGTGCAACTGGACAACTGCAAACTACAGTAATCAGGAAATCCACCGGCATGAGTCAAATGCTACACTTTAACAGCAATCACCCTCTGTCTTACAAACATAGCTGTGTGCGCATTCTATTCCGAAAAATTAAAACGCACTACAGCACGCTATCAGACAAAAGCACTGAACCTCTTCGCAGTTAATGGTTTTCCCAGTCACTATATCGAGAAAAGTAAGCGCCGGGCGAATAAATGACGCCCAAGGGAGCGGCAATACGAAGTCTAGAGGGCAATTCCCCTGAGCTCCACATGTATGTCTGAAAATAACAAGAGAATCAGTTCTCACAACGACAATTTTGGAAAGTTCAAAGTCATCGGTATGTATGAGTCAGGCGTGAACTGTCGCCACTGATACAATTTGGATTATATGTACAGTAGTTGCTCAAAAATAAGCATCTATTTGGCACTTGAATGTTTCAACTGTCTCTGAAAGGAACACCGCAAGCTTTGTCAGGTTTTAAGAACATCGAAATACTTGTTACAGTATCCTCAGCAAAGATATCTGAATCCAATAATGTGAATCGTAGGTTCTCGCTTCTGAGTGCGTACGACCCAGATTTCGAGGTCTTCAGTACCTCTCACCTTCACTTAGAGGATATTGCCTGTGCCGTAACTGTTGAAAATACTTTTCCAAGTCCTTTGCACAAAGTCGCCGCAGTGCGGTCGTCGATTTCAATCGTCTTCTCCATTTTTGCCAGACTCCGCCTTCGCATTTATCAAGGTTCCTAATATCTACCTCGGGGCTTTTTGTACTGATTGAGGCGGCCGTTGTGGGATTATATTACGATAGGTCTTGGTTACTTCCATCTTATTAGTAACTATCATTGGGTTATCGTTTTGGTTAAACGCATGGTTCTCCGCATGCCCGTTATACACAGCAAAGCGACATCTCGTAAATATGCGATAGTACGTACGGTTAGTGGCCTAACTCATGAAATGTGTCGAAATTTACAAATGATTGCCAATTACTCGCGAACCGACATCATTTCATGAGTCCAATGTCTATGTTAATTAAGTACAAGTTTAAAGCAATTAAAACCATAAAAGAAATATTAAAGGCAATGTTGCGTTCTTTCGAAATGCTGATTTATTTTTAAAAGAGCAATATCTCGAAAACGTCAGAAATGGCTCTAATTTAGTTAACTTTGTTTTTAGATGTAAAGAATATATTCTCATACTAAAAATATCGTAAATATGCCAGAAAACATAAAATAACGTCTAGTAATAGTGTCTTAGTGAAGTCTACATCAACAGTGAGTGACCGATCTCATGAAATGTTGGCTGAAATTCTGAAATGCGTTTTCGATAAGAAGGATTACTTAGGCGCGGTTGTAATACTGATTATCTTGCGGCATAATCCTATAAAATTTGGGATTCGGCAGGATGTCAGCTCTTGAATATACTGCTTTTCAATCTCCTGCATAAACTGTACTCAGTACAAAAGTACTACTTTGATAGCATGCATTTTTCCCATTGCTTTTCGATGTTCTTGCAAATTCAGATATAAATTAATAAAATAAATTTAATAAATTAATTAATAAATTCAGATATAAATTCAGATATAAACAAAAATATGCTTTCATTCAGTCATTTGGTAAAAAACTACCTCTTCGTTATATTTTTTTACTTGAAGGAGTGTAATTAGGTTTTGAAAAGTTTTCCAATTCCCGAATAATTTGGAGCCTGATCAGTCCTTACGTTAGCGCATAGCGATTTCATTCTACAAGGTGCATGCATTCCGCGTAAACAACATCATGTAGTTTTCTATCCCTTTAAAAGTATATCATACAGAGTCCATGAAATTTTGCAATGGATGCGGACTATTTTGCGAATTTCATGAGGAGCCGTGGAAAACGGCCAGGTTGGATGCTATGTGAATGGATATTGCGCGGTCTTAAAAAATCCCATAATGAAAAACGTTTTTAAAACCTACTTATACTCCTTCTTTGAGCATAAAATATAAAGAAAACATGATTCTCCATCAAACGACTGAAAGAAAGCATATTTTGTTTATGGTTTCTATAAGTTATATTTGAATTTGCAAAACCATCGAAAATTAATGGGAAAAATGAATGCTACTAAAGTAGTCATTTTTTACCAAGTACGGTTTATACAGAAGATTGAAAAACAGGGTGTTCAAACGCTGACACCTTGACAAATCCGAAATATTGTAGGATTTTGTTCAAGGTTATTAGTATTTCAACCGCGCCTAAGTAATCCTTCGTAATCGAAAACGCATTTGAGAATGTCAGCCAACATTTCATGAGATCGGTTACTCACTGTAAATATCGTTTAATAAGTAGTGTGATTTCATATATGACGGTTTGTCAACTGCCTACATTTTGAATGTGAGTTCCAAAACAGTTTTTCAGTGATTCCTGTTATTTTTGACTCAGAAGCGTAACCGGAGTCTAGGACATGTATTAGCATAGGAGATTGCAAGAACATATTCCAACGTCCATTTTCGTTAAAATTTACTGATGTTTTACTCTATATAATTACGTAAACACGATTTCTGCACAAGAAAAGGACATTTTATTGAAGGATTTGGATGAGGGAACAAAATTCTCAACGTTAAAGGTTTCCAGAAATTCTCTCATCAGTTTCCGTTATCACATTTCGTGAAATAAGTCACGAACTGTACTTCGATTTGTTGCTTAAAAAAGGCAAAAAGAGACCGTGGAAAACCCAAATAACGTGTTGTCGTTAGTATGATCTGGTTTGGCCTTTGGAAGGGGCAGTGGGATTGGTTTTCAGACCTACTTAATGGGCATCAAGAACAACACTGCGGCTTATATTGTTCCCAGGGAAGTATCGAATTTTGAGCAAACCTCGCAGATACTTGGTGATTGACCGTGTCGATAACTTCAGTGACAACCACTTCGAGGCGAAGGCTATTCCCAAAATGGGTCTTATAAACGTACAGCC